CTCATAATCTGATAGGGAATATAGACATGAAAACACAAATATAACAAGAAATGATAAGTGCTCTACTGCTGGCACAAAGACTTATGAGAGTATATGGTGTTAGAAATGTTCTAATTTCATTCTTTTACATGTAGCTATTTGGTTTCCCCAGCACCACTTACTGAAGAGACTGTCTTTTCTCCATTGTATATTCTTGCCTCCTTTGTCATAAGGTTATAAGTTTATTTATGGGCATCTATCCTGTTCCATTGATCTATATCTCTATTTCTGTGCCAGTACCATACTGTCTTGACTACTGTAGCTTTGTAGTATAATCTGAAGTCAGGGAACCTGATTCCTCCAGCTCCATTTTTCTTTCCCCAGATTGCTTTGGCTATTCAGAGTCTTACGTGTTTCCATACAAATTAAAAAAATTTTTTTTTGCTCTAGTTCTGTGAAAAATGCCATTGGTAGTTTCATAGGGATTATATTAAATCTATAGATTCCTTTGGGTAGTATGACCATTTTAACAATATTGATTTTTCTAGTCCAAAAACATAAGATACCTTTCCATCTGTTTTTGTCATCTTCAATTTCTTTTATCAGCATCCTAAAGTTTTTGGAGTACGGTACAGGTCTTTTGCCTCATTCAGTTCAGTTCAGTTGCTCAGTCGTATCCGTCTCTTTGAGACCTCATGAATCACAGCACACCAGGCCCCCTGTCCATCACCAACTCCCAGAGTTTACCCAAACCCATGTCCATTGAGTCGGTGATGCCATCCAGCCATCTCATCCTCTGTCGTCCCCTTCTTCTCCTGCCCCCAAGCCTTCCCAGCATTAGGGTCTTTTCCAATGAGTCAACTCTTCCCATGAGGTGGCCAAAGTATTGGAGTTTCAGCTTCAGCATCAGTCCTTCCAGTGAACACCCAGGACTGATCTCCTTTACGATGGACTGGTTGGATCTCCATGAAGTCCAACGGACTCTCAAGAGTTGTCTCCAACACCACAGTTCAAAACCATCAATTTTTTGGTGCTCAGCTTTCTTCACTGTTCAACTCTCACATCCATACATGACTACTGGAAAAACCATAGCCTTGACTAGACGGACCTTTGTTGGCAAAGTAATGTCTCTGCTTTTTAATATGCTATCTAGGTTGGTCGTAACTTTCCTTCCAAGGAGTAAGCGTCTTTTAATTTCATGGCTGCAATCACCATCTGCAGTGATTTTGGAGCCCAGAAAAATAAAGTCTGACACTGTTTCCACTGTTTCCCCATCTATTTCTCATGAAGTGATGGGACCAGATGCCATGATCCTAGTTTTCTGAATGTTGAGCTTTAATACAACTTTTTCACTCTCCTCCTTCACTTTCATCAAGAGGCTTTTTAGTTCTTCTTCACTTTCTGCCATAAGGGTGGTGTCGTCTGCATATCTGAGGTTATTGATATTTCTCCCGGCAATCTTGATTCCAGCTTGTGCTTCTTCCAGCCCAGCGTTTCTCATGATGTACTCTGCATATAAGTTAAATAAGCAGGGTGACAGTATACAGCCTTGACGTACTCCTTTTCCTATTTGCCTTATTAGGTAGGTTTATTCTTAGGTATTTTATCCTTTTTGAAGTAATGGTAAGTGGGATTGTTTCCTTAATTTCTCTTTCTGATATTTCCTTTTAGTGTATAGAAAGGGAAGAGATATCTGTATGTTAAGTTTTTATCCTGAAACTTTACCAAATTCCCTGATGAACTCTAGTAGGTGTCTGGTAGCATCTTTAGGATTTTATAGAATCATGTTGGGCTTCCCTGGTGGCTCAAGACAGTAAAGAATCTTCCTGCAATGCAGCAGACCCAGGTTCAATCCCTGGATTGAGAAGATCCCCTGGAGAAGGGAATGGATACCCACTCCAGTATTCTTGCCTGGAGAATCCCACAGACAAAGGAGCCTGGTGGGCTACACAGCCCATGGGGTCTCAAAGAGTCAGACATGACTGAGTGACTAATACTTCACACACAGTATCATGTCACCTGCAAACTGTTAACTGTTTTATTTCTTTTTGAATTTAGATTCCTTCTATTTCTTTTTCTTCCCTGAGTGGCATGGCTAAATCTTCTAAAACTATGTTGAATAAAAGTGGCAAGAGTGGACATCTTCATCTTGTTCTTGATTTTAGAGGAAATGCTTTCAGTTTTTCACCATTGAGTATGATGTCAGTTGTAGGTTTGTCATATATGGCCTGTATTATGTTGAGGTAGGTTCCTTCTAGGCCCACATCCTGGAGAGTTGTTATTTTTTTTAATCATAAATGGGTGTTGGATTTTGTCAAAAGCTTTTTCTACATCTATTGAGAGGATCATGTGGTTTTTATTCAATTTGTTAATGTATATCACACTGATTGACTTGCAGACATGGAAAAGTCCTTGCATCCCTAGGATAAAGCCCACTTGATCATGGCATATGATCGTTTGAACCTGTTGTTGGATTTGCGTTGCTATCATTATATTGAGAATTTTTGCACCTGTGTTCAGTGATACTGCCTGTAATTTTCTTTATTTGTGGTATCTTTGTCTGGTTTTGCCTTTCTGGTGGCTCAGCTGCTAAAGAATCTGCCTGCAGTGAGCGAGACCTGGGTTCAATCCCTGGGTTGGGAAAGTCCCCTGGAGAAGAGAACAGCTACCCACTCCAGTATTCTGGTCAGGAGAATTCCATGGATTGAATAGTCCATGGGGTCGCAAAGAGTTGGACATGACTGAGCGACTTTCACTTCAACAATTTGTCTGGTTTTGGAATCAGGGTGTTTGTGGCCTCATAGAATAAGTGTGGGAGTATTTCTTCTTTTGCAGCTTTTTGGAATAGTTTCAGAAGGATAGATGTTTCCTGTTTTCCAAATATTTGATAGACTTTAGCTATGAAGCCGTCTGGTCCTGGACTTTTGTTAGGATTTTTTAAAACCACAGTTTCACTTTCAGTACTTGTGATTTGTCTGTTCATACTTTCTATTTCTTCCTAATTCAGTCTTGGAAGATTGTACCTTTCTGAGAATTTGTCCATATATTCTAGTTGTCCATCTTATTGGCATATAGTTGTTTGTAGTAGTCTCTTATGGCTCTTTGTATTTCTGTGGTGTCAATTGTATTTTTGTCAGTTGGATTAACATGTATTAGTCTTGGCATGTTCCTCCTTGGGTTTATCTATTAATATAGGGGACTCTCTGCACTTCCTGAATTTGTGTGACTGTTTCCTTTCCCAAGTTAGTTAAATTTTCGCCTATTATCTCTTCAAATATTTTCAGACCCTTTCTCTCTTCCTCTAGGACCCCTATAAGGGGAATGCTGGTGCATTTAATGTTGTTTTAGAGGTTCTGAGAGTGTCCTCATTTCTTTTCACTCTTTATTCTGTTCCATGACAGTGATTTCCACCCATCTGTCTTTCAGCTCACTTATTTGTTCTGCTTCATTTATTGTGCTATTGATTCCTTGTAGTGTATTTTTCGTTTCAGTTACAGTCCAACTGTTTGTTGTTTATATTTTCTAGCTCTTTATATTTTCTTGTATCTTCTTGGTCAGTGCCCCCATTCTTTTTCTGATATCATGGATCATCTTTACTATCATTATTCTGAGTTCTTTTTTCAGTAGATTGCCTATCTCCACTCTGCATAATTGTTCTTCTGAGGTTTTATCTTGCTCCTTCATCTGGAACATATTTCTCTGTCATCTTACTTTGTCTAACTTTCTGTGGTTGCAGTTTCTGTTTCACAAACGGAAGGACTGTAGTTCCTCTTGCTTCTGGTGTCTGCCTCCTGCTGGATGTGTCTGGTCTGAGGTTTGTGCAGGTTTCCCAGTGGGAGGGCTGTGTCAAGGTGTGTGTTTAGAAGCGGCTGTAAACTCAGGACAACTTTAGGCAGCGTGCCTACTGATGGATGGGGCGCCCACCGTTTGGGAGGTGTTCCCGAGGCATTCCCACCTTGTTGGTTGTTTGTCATGAGGTGTTCCAGCAATGGAGCCTGTTGGCTGTTGGGTGGGGCCCTGTCTCAGTGCGAAAATGGCAACCTCTAGGAGAGCTCATGTCAGTGAATATTCCCCAGTATCTCTGCCATTGGTGTCCTTGACACTACAGTGAGCCACAGCCCCACCTTCCCAGAAGACCCTCTGAGATCCTTAGGTGGGCCTGGCCCAGGCTCCTGTGGAGTCACTACCTCACCCTGGCTTGCAGTGCGTTTGAAACCTTCTGTGTGCCCTCCAAGAGTGGGGTCGTGTGGAGCTCCTCTACTCAAGCTCTTCAGAGTCAGAGGCTCCGGGGGCTCCTCCTGATGCCAGACCCCGAGGTTCAGGAACCTCAGTGAGGCCCAGAACTCTCCCTCCTGTGGGGATACCTCTGTGGTTTAACTGTTTAATTATTGCCCACCCAGTGGTTACAGGACTTGATTGTATTGGGAAAGCACCCCTTCTACCATCTTGCTGTGTTTTCTTTTTCATCTTTGAGTGTAGAATATCTTTTTTGATAGGTTTCAGTCTTTTTTGTCGACAGTTCTTCAGCAGTTGGTTGTAATTTTGGTGTTTCACGAGAGGACTCAAGCCCAAGTCCTTCTCGTCTACCATCTTGTCTCCTCCCCAGAGAAATCAAATAATAGTCATCTCAATGGATGTGACTTTTTAAAATCAAGAATTAGACAGCACTTAACAACCTGTTTAAATGTATAACACCTCATCCTTCAGACAGATATATACAACATACAAACTATATTTCACTGAAAAAAAAATCAAGGAAAATTGTGAATTTCCTCCATTCTCTTTTTTAGCCTTTTTTTCCTCTTGTAATTGTAATTTGCAGTAGTTGAAGATGAAAATTAAATGAAAGTTTTAATTAATTAATTAAATTATTATTTAATTAAATTTTAATTAAAATTAATAATTAAATTATTTAATTAAATTAAATGAAAGTTGGGCTTTTAAAAGAGAAATATTGAAACTATATATAATTTTAAAGTTTAGAAAATATAACTCTTCCCATCTTTTCTATGGTGTCAAAGACAACAGAAACCACTGTTAGAACTCTACCAGACAAGGGTGAAGAGATCTGCAGATATTTCTTGAATCCTTCTTTAATGTCATCAGAATGTTCACCTACAATCTTGAAAAAGAAAACAGAAGACATAAGCGACCTCCCTTCTGAGAATCAAAGAAGCATACCGCTTGCTGTAACCGACGCGTTAGAGCATATTATGGAACAGCTCAATGTTTTGACACAGGTGGGTTGGCATGTTTCACGCTTGGAGGTAAGATGTACAAAATCCTGGTTACAGCAGGCTGCAGAACTAGCAGAGCCGGGGGGATGCTTTCCTTCTTAGCAAGCTCAAAGGTCGTAGTTAGCAGAGCAACACATGCTCTGCTGAGATGCTCTAGATCTTGTGGAGGCACGGTCTGAGCCCATGCGCATGTAAACATGTGCATACACACACTGCACTATATCTGGCATCTGAGGACCAGAAGGGAGGGGAGGAGACAGTGAAGAACCATTTTGGTACTTCATGCTATAAATTTGATTCTAGACAGTAATGTTTTGCCCTAAGAATTTTCCAATGCAGTGTATTCAGATTTGGATATCATCAAAGAAATATTTAAGGCTAAAAGAAAAGATGTATTGGGATTAATCATTTCAGTTAGAATGAAATATTGGCAATGCTTTTAGTTTTCAATCTGAAGATATTTCCCTCTGTCCAATGTATAACTTCCCTCATTCCAAAGCTGCTTACGGGACACTGTGTTCTGGAGACGAGGTTTTCACATTCCCCTTTTAGAATATTACCCAGTCTTTTTTTTTTTTTTTCATTGATGCTAAATTTCAGTTTATTTTTTACTGCACAGGATGACTTTCAGCATTCATTTTTTTTTTTTAACAGACTGTATACATTCTTTTATTAACTTTCGTTATATAGTCATGCAGGTAGTAAATAATTAATTTTACAGTAAAAAGGAAAGACGAAATGGCTTAATCCCTTTTAATTACATTTAAGCAATTTTTAAAAATTTATTTTTCTATTGAAGGATAATTGCTTTAAAGAATGCCAGTTTACCTTTGAAAGAAGGAATACCATGAATCTTAACATACCAAAGGTCTTCCAACTCTTGGTCAGGAAATTTAGATGTCATTTAATGGAAGCAGTGTATTAAAATGGATACATCAAAGGTTGTCCTTCCAGCTCTCCTTGGTGTTTCTTTTGAATAAGTATTATCATTATTTGATAAATAGGATGAGGATACTAATATCTGTCAGAGCAGATGCTGTCCCAAGTTGTACAGAAAGAAGCTATGACGTGAACTAGTGATGTCAATTACTTTCCCAGAATAAATATTTCGAGTTGAAATAGCTCTTGTATAGAGGTTATCTAATTCTTGTTTTTAACCCTGGCTGTACATTATAATCACCCAGGCAATTAAGAATCATTCAGATGTCCATTCTCATCTCCAGAGAATTCAAGGCCTTGGCATGGGTCTCTTAACGTTCCTTTCTGGGTTTAGAGCCAGTAATTACAAATTTACCCTTTAGATAACATCTCTGAACCTTGGAGTTAAGGGACATGGATATGGGTCGTGACAGGTTGTGAGAACAAGTCTTGTGAGACCTTGGAGTAATAAGATTTGTTCAGTGAAAATCATAGGAAAATCACCAATTTTTGCTTTGCAGTATTGTGCTGGAGGTGACTTTGTGTTTATCAGACGTCTCTAGCCTTTAAAAGGCAGTTTTTCTCTCAACCTCCTGCCAGGTTTAGTTTTGATTTGCCTGTTTCCCAGGGCCCTGGCTCCTCACTTGAACTGTCACATTGAGTGGCAGGTCCTCTTGAGGGTCTTTCCATCCTCTGCTCTATCAGCTTCGTGACCCATTTCACCTTTTTCCCTGATTCAGGGTTAAATGGACCACTTTAAACTTTATTGAAAGTCTCTACTTTTTTAACTTTGAAGGACTGACTACCCTTCAAATACAAAAGAAGTGAAAAGCAGGCACAGCACACTTGCAAAATGGGAACAGTGTGAATCTGTGGGCGAATAGCAAGTGAAATAAACACATTCTGATTCCCTTCGATTACAGATGACTGAATATCTCCTAACCCTGTGGCAATGTTTATAATTCAGTACAGATTGTATTGGGTTGGCCAAAATGTTCAGGCTTTTCAGTAAGTTGTAAGATGTTACAGAAAAATTCAAGCATTTGGGCCAACCCAACAATATCACTTCCTCATTATAATTTTTCAGACAGTAGGTAACTGGTGTTAACCAGTGTTATAGGTATTGATAATATATGTATCAAAAGCTTTTGCTTTTTTCATTGTGATAATGTATGTACATATCAGGCAAAATGCTTGGAGCATAGTAGGCACCCAAGAAATATTAGAAAATATTATGAGCATTGCTGTTAATTTTGATCATATTAACTGCAGTATTGTGCTGGAGGTGACTTTGTATTTATCAGACATCTCTTGGCTCTAAAAGGCAGTTTTTCTCTCAACCTCATGCCAGCTTTAGTTTTGATTGGCCTGTTTCCCAGGCCAATCATAATGAGTCATGATCTATAGTATGGAATATGAGAGAAAAAAAAACTATTAGATAATAGGGAAAAAAAAACAAAAAGAACAACTGATTACTATCAGAAGCTGATAGGGAATCAATTCATTATCTTGAAACTTATTGACTAAAGTAACCATGCATTTATGCTGCTTTTCCTGTTTGAACTGTACTTCCAGGTAACCAAATAATATATGGAAGTGTATTTTATAAATCATCCCAACTAATAAATGGAAATAGAATGTCATTGCCCTCTAAAGAAAGAATAGATTTACCAAGGGATCTAGCCTGAGTCTTATCAAGCCTTTGAATCCCGTTCCCAGTTTATATAAAATACAGAGAGTAACAGAACAGATTTAACTGTACCTGTACCTGGAGCACACAGTCCCTAAAATCCAGTCTGGTAGGGAATCTACATGTCAGATGGCCTGAGCCTGTTAATAGACAAATTATAAAGAAAATAAAGCAAGGAAGTGGGGAATCTGCAGATTAAATGGGTAAGATAAAGTTTTAGTTTCTAGGGATGCATATTTGAAAGGTAAAACCATAAAAACATGCAGATTACTATAGTGGTCAGGATGGTGGCTGTTACGGGGGAAGGTGCATGCAAGGCACTAGTTCTTGACCTGGTGCAGGTCACAAGGGTGTTTTTCTCATGAGAATTCATTGACACTTTTTAGTGTGCAATTTCCTGAATCTAGTTTATAGTGAAGTTTAAAAAAAAGACTGAAGTGACCGGTAATCACAATTTAAAAGGAGTTGTGTGTGTGTGTTTAGTCATATACTCACTTACTAGCCGAAGGAGTAGGAATAGCTAAGATTCATAAAGTCCTGTTGTGCCAGGCACTAGCTTAAGCATTTTACATGCCTGATTTCATTCAGTCTTCCTACCAACCCTATGAGGTGCTGTTGTCATCTTCTGGGTGCAGAAATGAGTGGCAGTCATTATATTTTCAAAGTAAGCTAGGTATCCAGCTGTCTAGGGTAATATAGACATGGCCCGTCATGGGTTGGTTGTGGCTGAATGACCAGCGATGCCATTTAGGTAGTAGTGGGGCATGTGGCATTCCGTCCCACCTCCCCTATTCCACATTACCTGGGACACTATTTAACATGCCTCATGTGGTCTCTTCTCTGGCATTGATGCTTTAGAAGATCAGACTTTAGAATTGTCCACAGAGGCTTGATCATTTACTCCTTTTTCCTTAAATGCTTCCTCTTTTTCCCCTTTCCTCAAACGGCCTGGCCGTGCTTTGCCCTGTGGTGGGGTGCAGAAACGGAGCAAGTTCTGGAGCTCATTTCTGAGCCAACCTCTTGGCAAAAGGGTAGGCATTACAGTTTTGAGAAAGATCAGTGCAGAGATTATCACCATCATCCTCACCACCAGATCACCAGGCACTGATGACTTTGTCCTCCTTTTTTGCAGACTGTTTCAATTTTGGAGCAGCGACTGACTTTGACAGAGGATAAGCTGAAAGACTGCCTTGAAAATCAGCAAAAGCTTTTCAATATGATCCAACAGAAAATTTGAACAGAAAAATATGAGCAGAAGCATGAGAAATAAACACATGTACATATACTCAGGAAGGTAGTACCAGATGCTTCATGCAATGCAACCATGTGCTAATTGTCATGGCATTTCTTAAAAGGGTGAGCAAAAGAACAAAAGGCAGAAAAGGCATAATTAAGGACCAGTTTAAACATACCAATCAATGTCTAGGACTAATTCAAATCATCACTATTTATGGTTCCAGTAATAAAGTGATAAGCATTCAAGTGGCTCTATATCCACCCCCCCCCCCATATTATTTTTAAATGTCAGTTTTCGTTAATAGCTCAAGTCTTGCCAGGAAAATAACCAAATCTTTGGATTTCATTGTTATTTCAAATTGACCGTATTCGGGCAATTCCTTCAACAATTAGTGTACTTCTTTAGTGAACAGTACCCATAGGGTGAAACAATTCACTTACCTCTAAAATGGCATTTTATGTGCAGAGAATGAATTAATGATCTGACTTGTATTTCTCAGTTAAAAAAATTTACTCTTTCTTACCTATGCCATTTGATGAAAAGATGATCTCACAAACTCTCAAACCACAGAATTTCCACAGCAAGAATACACTTATTTTAATTAGCAACAGCACATACAGGACATATGGCAGGGATTTTGATTTAATTTATGGCATACATTGCTTATTCTTTGTCCAACCTGGAAGAAAATGAAGAGTTAGAAATATGTGAAGTACACGTATCTTCTTCTGTAGATGAAGGCACTGAATGTTTTCAGTTATATCCAAACTTGTGATATCAGTTTATGAGGATTAAATTAGTGCAGAATCCTCAAAACCCAGAACCATGCAACAGCAGCACTTAAAAATATACACACATGTGTGTTCACATGCTTCATGTTTAGGGTGATTTTGGTACCTGGATATAAGGACTTTAAAAGAATATTTATTTGCATCATTGTCTACCTCCTTCTTTTAATTGTGATTTGAAACAAAATGAAAATGAGTAAAACATTCTAAATGATCTTGGTTATAATTTAAGGATTTTATCTTAAACAAAATAGGAGATTAAATTGGAAAAAAAAATGAATTTAGCTTGCATTTCTGTTAACCTATATCAAAACCAGAAGGTGGGAGAAGACAGTCCACATTTATGATGCCTGCAGGCATACCATGGGGAAAATACTATGTTTTGGAAAAGAAAAATGTCCTATTTCCGTACGGGTCTATATTGAGAAATTTCTCAAAGTGATTTCAGTTGTATTTATAAGGTGGTTTTGTTTTATCATCTCGTGTATTTTAAGTGCCTTTTTATACAATACTAAGTAGGAACTTCTAGACCATTTCAAGAGTTTGTAAGACTAAGTGGCATTGTATTTTTTATAACCTCATTGAGAAGACTAAGAAATGAAATGTCATACCAATTTTTGTTTACTTTTTTATTCTTCAAACAATAAAGACATTTTGCCTTTAAAAAAAGGTTGTTTCCTTTTAAATGATTAAAATCTAGAAATAGTACTAAATTTCTTATCTAGCTCACTCAACTTTAACCTTCATAACAACCTTCTGGACTACTTTGTCAAAACAGTTCTGGTGCTTTTCCCCGGGTTTATGATTCACTAGGTCTGGTCTGGCAGGGCCCAATAATTTGCATCTCTAACAAGCTCACAGGAGATTTGGTGCTACTGGCCTCAGGCCGACAGTTTAGAAACTATTGACCAGTTGTAACCACTTCCTGCAACATGGTGTTGCCACATACTTTTATAGTCATAGACCTTTTTTAAAAGTGATATAAAAACAGTGATGACAGAAGTTTAAAAGCCTTAGAACTTTTTCAGGAGGGATATTTTATAATCCTCCTTCCCTCCCCTGCACCTTTGTTTATGCTTTTGAGGATTCTTTCCTTCAGATTCCAGCCTCTCCTTTGTCCTAGCTGCCTATTTGCTGCATGAGCAACATCTCCACTTGGAAGACCTGGCAGGCCATCTCTGAATGTGCCCAAAGCCAGTCCCTACTGTACCCTCAGCCACCAGCCGGCTCCTCTGTCCCCTAGTGTCCGGACCTCCAACTCTCCTTCAAGGCACTCGGGTTGGAGTTTTCCTTGAGTCCTTGATCCTACACTCCACTCCCGTTCCTTCAGCAAATCTTAGGAGAACACATGAGAGACCTGATCATTTCTCACCCCTCCATCAGCCACCAAAACAGGCCACTGTTGTCTCTTCCCTGAATTACTGCGGTACCTCTTAACTGTCACCACCGTCATCTTTGCACAGCAGGCCAGAGTGGTTCTTGAAAAGCCGGAGTTCAAACATGTGGCTCTTTTGGCTTCAAACCCTTCAGGGCTTCCCATCTTGGAGTAAAAGCCTAAGGCTTGACAGTGGTGCTGTGCTCCCCACCCCTTCATCTTAGACCTTCCCCTTTCCCCTGGGGGCCACACTTACTCACTGCCCTTGGTCACAGTGGCTTCTTTGCTTCCCCTTGTAGAAGCAAAACACCTCCCACCTGAGAGCACTGGCCTTACCATTTCCTCTGCCTGGAGCCCTGTCCCCAGGCTTTGCTCATAACATTCCAGCCCGGGTCACATGTTGCCTTTTCAGAGGTGCCCTTCCTAATCAGCCTATGTGAAATAGTAACCCTCCATTCACTCCCTGCCTAGCCCTGGTACAACAAGATTGCAACACCGTTCCAGTTCTGCCTCTTCCACGGTGAACTAACCTTCTCAAAAAGTAAGCACTGTCACCTCTAGATTCCCAAACTAGCACAATTCATAGGAGAAGCTCAACAGATAGGTATCCCAAAAAATGCTCAACCCAAAAGTTGAGAATATTTTATTCAGTGTACTTACTGAGGATTTAAGCCCGAGATATAGCCTCTCAGGTAACTCTAAGGGACTTTTTCTAAAGAGGTAAGACAGGAGCCAGGATAAATAGAAGTTTTGCAAATAAAACAACATAACAAAACAAAGACAAACTAGGTAGTCAGAACATTAAAAGATTACCATTAAAGAAAACCAGGTATCTCAAGCTAATGAAGTTTAGCACTTTTCTACATAGAAGATGCAAGAGTCTGGTCTTATTGAAATTATTCCTTTGATATGCATCTTCACTATCTAATACCGGTATCCTGTTTTTTCTCCATTCTGAATTCAGGGTGCCCAATCGAGGGTGGGTGTAGTGACCACAACATTCTCTGTTTAGTGAAATGCTAGGAACATTCTATGTCTCCAATATTCTATGTCTCTCAGTCATAAATTCAAGCATTTGGAAGGGATTTAATGATCAATTTCATCCCACATCACTAGGAAGTTTCACTGCTAGATCGGCTGGAGACTGTGTGATAGGCTATTCAGTCTACACAGACATACTTTGAAATCTCATAGCTTTACTGTAAGAGTTATGAATCTAGTGTTACAATATACTTAGATATAAACTTATAAAGTAAGTTTATAAACAATATAAACTTATAGTATAAACTTATATGCTGAGTTGCTTCAGTCATGTCCGATTCTTTGCGACCCCATATAGCCCACCAGCCTCCTCTGTCTGTGGGTTTCTCCTGGCAAGAAAGCTGTGCTCCCCACCCCTTCATCTTAGACCTTCCCCTTTCCCCTGGGGGCCACACTTACTCACTGCCCTTGGTCACAGTGGCTTCTTTGCTTCCCCTTGTAGAAGCAAAACACCTCCCACCTGAGAGCACTGGCCTTACCATTTCCTCTGCCTGGAGCCCTGTCCCCGGGCTTCGCTCATAACATTCCAGCCCGGGTCACATGTTGCCTTTTCAGAGGTGCCCTTCCTAATCAGCCTATGTGAAATAGTAACCCTCCATTCACTCCCTGCCTAGCCCTGGTACAACAAGATTGCAACACCGTTCCAGTTCTGCCTCTTCCACGGTGAACTAACCTTCTCAAAAAGTAAGCACTGTCACCTCTAGATTCCCAAACTAGCACAATTCATAGGAGAAGCTCAACAGATAGGTATCCCAAAAAATGCTCAACCCAAAAGTTGAGAATATTTTATTCAGTGTACTTACTGAGGATTTAAGCCCGAGATATAGCCTCTCAGATAACTCTAAGGGACTTTTTCTAAAGAGGTAAGACAGGAGCCAGGATAAATAGAAGTTTTGCAAATAAAACAACATAACAAAACAAAGACAAACTAGGTAGTCAGAACATTAAAAGATTACCATTAAAGAAAACCAGGTATCTCAAGCTAATGAATTTTAGCACTTTTCTACATATAAGAAGATGCAAGAGTCTGGTCTTATTGAAATTATTCCTTTGATATGCATCTTCACTATCTAATACCGGTATCCTGTTTTTTCTCCATTCTGAATTCAGGGTGCCCTAATCGAGGGTGGGTGTAGTGACCACAACATTCTCTGTTTAGTGAAATGCTAGGAACATTCTATGTCTACAATATTCTATGTCTCTCAGTCATAAATTCAAGCATTTGGAAGGCATTTAATGATCAATTTCGTCCCACATCACTAGGAAGTTTCACTGCTAGATCGGCTGGAGACTGTGTGATAGGCTATTCAGTCTACACAGACATACTTTGAAATCTCATAGCTTTACTGTAAGAGTTATGAATCTAGTGTTACAATATACTTAGATATAAACTTATAAAGTAAGTTTATAAACAATATAAACTTATAGTATAAACTTATATGCTGAGTTGCTTCAGTCATGTCCGATTCTTTGCGACCCCATATAGCCCACCAGCCTCCTCTGTCTGTGGGTTTCTCCTGGCAAGAATACTGGAGTTGGTTGCCAGGCCCTCCTCCAGGGGATCCTCCCAACCCAGGGATCAAAACTGTGTCTCCTGCACTGCAGACAGATTCTTTGCTGCTGAGCCGCCGGTGAAGCCCATAAACAGTATAAACAGTTTATAAATAATAGCTGGAATAAGTTAAATTTGCTTGCCTAGAGGACTAGGGCTTCACTCCTTTTGGAAAAGACATAAGATTTTTACTTGCCCTTGATAAACCCTTATGGAGAATATGAATTAGATTCCAGGCAAAGGAGCCTTTCCAACTGTTGGGGTTTTTAAAAGTTACTTTTCCACTTTTTCTCTCCTTGTTGTCAGTTTCTATCTGATTATTTAGGCTCAGTCTCAGGTCATTGTGGGCTATAGCTAAGTTTCTGATTTGTAGAGATATGCAAGAGAAAGATGGGCTTCCCTGGTGGCTCAGATGGTAAAGAATCTGCCCTCGATACGGGAGACCTGGGTTTGATCCCTGGGTTGGGAAGATCTGGAGGAGGGCATGGCAACTTTCAGGATTCTTGCCTGGGGAGAGAAAGATAGTTGCTTTTAATTCTCCAAAGAACCCGTGTGCCTCCCAAATTATATTAAAAGATGGATTTTGCCCAACTATATTTTCTTTCATTTGATCTTTTAAAATAAATGAGAAGATTTCCAACTAAACTGAAATTCAAGACTTCTATGTTCTAGAATTTCAGGGTTAATATATCAGGCCTTCAGAAGCTTGCACAAGGCATTCAACAAAGGCCCTCTTTCAGAGTGCAAGGCTAGACCCAGAGTAAAGTTTCTTTTGTTTTAAGTTAGCCCCTAAATATTAGCTCCCAGTTTTTACTTTATATTGCACAGTTTCAGATAACCCCATTGGTTTCCTTTAGTGTGTTAATTAGTGTATCTCCTGAGNCCAGTTTTTACTTTATATTGCACAGTTTCAGATAACCCCATTGGTTTCCTTTAGTGTGTTAATTAGTGTATCTCCTGAGGGACAGATTCATATGCTCTGCCTTATAATACTAAGCAAGGGAAGCATTCTGGAGAAGGGCATGGCAACCCACTCCAGTATTCTTGCCTGGAGAATCCACATGGACAGAGGAGCCTCGTGGGCTACAGTCCATGGGGTCACAAACAGTCGGACACGACTGAGTGTCTAAGCACAGCACAGTTCGCATTCCCCAGCAAGACCAAGTGTTTTTTCAACAATTTACTTAGGCAAACCAGCTTCAATAAAACCTATTTAAATACACCAATTTTTATAAAATTTCATCTCAGTTCTACCAACTTTTACGCCATTAGCTTTTAGTCTCCGTTGTTGTTCAGTGGCTAAGTCATGTCTGACTCTTTTATGACCCTGTGGATTGTAGTCCACCAGACTCCTCTGTCCATGGGCTTTCCCAGACAAAAATACTGGAGTGCCATTTCCTGCTCCAGGGGATCTTCCTGAGCCAGGAATCGAACCTTTGTCTCCTAATTGGCAGGAAGATTCTTTACTGCTGAACCACCAGGGAAGCTCCTTTTAGTCTACATTAGGACTGAATAAAAAAGCCTTGCTTTTACAAGGAGTCCTAGAAGCTTTCTTTTCATCTCTGACCATTCATCTGTTTTTGTATAAAAGGTTCTGGGGCCCCCAGCTAGGGGGTTGAACCAAGAGACTCAGGCCCTTTTATCAATCTTTTAACTTGATTTTGACTAGTCCTAACTGTTGCACCAAGTAACTATTCATCA